ACCTTTTTAAAAAAATTATTAACTACATTTGTATATATATATACTGATACAAGTGTAGAAGTGGCTGTGACTGTTTGTTTTTTAGTGATTGCAATGTTAACCTGTATATGTGTTATCCAAAGACTCATATGAACTGAGTATGAACTGAGAGGACCTTTCATTAAACAAACAAAAACAAAAGGTTTGACTAATAAATGTAAAATAAAAATACTTCTAAGTGAGACTTGTAATACATGTGAGATAAGAATGCTTTTGAGACTTGTGATAAATGATACATGTATAAATTAAAAATGCTTTGATTAAGAGTTGTAATATTAAATAAAATAGCTACATATGATTTAGACATCAGGATACATGGGAGGTAGTCCGTGTCGTTGTTTAGTTCGATTTACCTTCTTTCTTCTTTCAGTCTATACTAAGTAATCCCTCCACATATCTTCTGCAATTTGATCTCTGAGGTTTTTAGCATAGGTATTACCTTCAGCAGCACTACCAAATTCTTGAAGATAACCAGATTGTTCTTGAGTAGGCGCTTCCGTAGTATCTTGAGGGTTGGGAATGAATCCTTCTCTGAATTGAGGGAATTCTTCAGCTGAACCTTTTGGATCTTTGACACGAATGAAGTTGTGAATGAAGCACATAACAGTAACCATTGAAATTTGAATCTCGATGGTGTATTCACACCCATGAGCCATGATCTTAAAGCGCTTCTTGCAAACTCCAAAGATACGCTCAATAACGTTACGTGCACTAGCATGTCGAAGATTGAAGAGTTCTTCTTTATTCATCGGTCTAATATGGAAGGATAGGAGTGGTGAGAAGAAGAAAGACAGAGAAAAGTATGAAAATGATGGAAGAAAAATCAATCTCACTTGAAACCTTTCTTTTCCCACTCTCGTAAATGATAACGGACTTTTCGAAAAGGAACAATACAATCTTCAGTGAGAGCAAAGCCAGAATCACCGAGATAATATTTTCCGGCGGGGATAGTAAGATCACGACTTCGAGCCAAAGTCCAAAGAGCACCGTCGGCCATACTTCCTTCAGCTCCAACCAATAAATAAATAAACTCCATGTTGAAATTACAGGCAGCAAGGACGTTTTGAGATGTGTAGCCTTTACGATTAGAGAAAGGAATGAATTTGGAAGCTGGCTGAGTGACCGGAATGTGTGTACCGTCAATTGCACCGATGCAGTCTTTGAAATAAGGCATGAACTTTGGATTCTTGGAAAAGGTATCCGCAAGAGGAGTGTTGGCATTGGGAAGAGGAATATATTTGCTGAGTAAATCTCTGTGGTTGGAAATTCCTTTAATAAGGTGATTGATTGTCCTAGCCGAAAGAGATAGTGATGAGAAAATTTGAAAAGAAGCAAAAAAAAGCGAAAAAGGAAAGATAGATGAATTACTTAGAAATAGTATCAGCCGATCTTTGAAAACGATTTTGAAGTTTACGATTAGAAAGGCCGGTGATGACAGTATAGATAAGTATTGCCAACTTCTCAGTTCCGGTGATCCAACGAGAGTCATATAAAATTCCAGTTTCTTCAAGTACAGAACGTAGTTCAAAAAAAACAGGTTTGTTCATTCCAAGATTATCATAGAAAACTGAGTTATTTGGACTAGCAATAAGCTCATCAATCCAAGCCTGACCGCTGAGGATGGAAGTAAGACACGGAGTTTTGGTGAGATGAGGCAGGATTTGAGCTGCACAAGCCTGTACACCAGTGCTAAAGTAACAAAATACTTGAAACTGTTGATGTTGAACAGCAAGGAGCTGTTTGAGAAATTGCAATTTAAGCAACTTTTGCTCTTTGGCGCGCTTTTCAGGTGTGAGAGACTGAAGTGAAGAGCGAGAACGATGCTCCATGATGTTTTAAATGACGTGATTTACGATGATTTTGGTCAACAAACGAAGAATTTGGTCTATGATGACCGTGATGGATGGATGGATGGATGGGAAAACGAAAACGGACCGATTGATTTTCAAGTTTCAATCGAAAAACACTTTCATTTCTTTGTTACCAAACAGTTGACGTTGATCAAATGGTCAACAACGATCTTTTTGATCTTTTGTTGACCTTATTGGTCAACTGTTCGGTAACCGGAAAAGCCAAAAAACAAAAATCTCTATCTGCCCCTTGAAACAGGGGCAGATTGAAATTTCGTTTTTGTGTAACGAATTTTTCGAAAACCAGCCGAATGGGCCCTAAGTTTTTGTTGATAATACTATGGATGAATTCAAATTGGTAAAGAAGAATGCAATATGTAGTGGCTCTCAAACCTGCCCCGGAAAAACCCAGTTGACCCAGTTGTTTTTTGGCAGTAACTTTGTGTATCAAGTTGACATTTGTTGACAGCTCCCAGCCAAAAATTCCACTGGGGCAACCGGGTTTTTTGAAACTGGGTCAGGTTTGAGAGCCACTAATGAAATGGGACAAACAAATCTAGAAAATCATCAGAGAAGAGATAAAGAGATTTGACAGAAAACCTTCGAAAACCATTACTAATCTCTTTACCATTTGACACACTAATCTTTGAAGATGAGTAAGAACAAAATAAGACTCTTTGTTACGATTTCACATCTCCCTAAGCCACTACCTATTCCCCTTGGTTAAAACAAGTCCCAACCACAAAGAATCAGGGCAGTTTGTTGAAACATCAGCGTAGAGCGTTAGTTACTGAAAGGAGGATAAGGAGATATATACAGTGAATATATACAGCAAATAGAATTATGATTAAAACTAGGTGGAGGTGTGGTACATAGTATCAAGTTTGTGCGAGTACAACTAAGTGTAGCTTGGGATGACGTCTTCTATATCCGTTGTGCGGCACTCCAATGCTGTTTGTTCCATTCTCTCTGATATAACACATGACAGGAGAACGTCCATCTTCCTAGCTTTGGTGAGGAGTGTTGCCCCTCCAATTCAAAAGGAGTGATTGGTCATGTTCAAGTCAATACACCAGGCTCTTGACATGGTCTTCATTAGGACAGGTCTAGTGATGACGGTAGTTCCATTGCTTCCCCAGGTCATGAAGAGCCGAGGATCTTTTACCCTTTCTAAGCAGGTCATAAGGTTGCGGAGGGCCACGACGGGGCAGAGCACATCGCCGGTTTCTCTGATGACAAGGAGTTGGGATTTGACTGAGGCTAAGATCAGACATTGTGAACGCTGAAGGCAAACTCAAGGAGGCATGGGGCTGGTTCAAGAAGAAATGTAGAGAGTGAGTGATAAGAAGAAGACATAGTATTTTCCAATACTTTCATATCTATCTTTCTCCAAAATCTTCATTGCTTTGATTTGCTCTCATACCTATAGTGGGTAGTCCCTAAACATGTGAAATCAGGTATTTTGAGAAAAGGTGTATAAGATCCACAAAATTGATCCAATTTCGACGCTGAGGGCAGATTTGGAATCCTCACATCAATAGCAGTCCAAAATTGTATTGAACATATTGTTCTTAACAATGGTTACAGTAGAGAAAGTTCTTTTCATAAAATGGAGTTTGTAATAAATCAGCTTTTTGGCCGGCCCAATATTACACGCTTTTAGACACTACCCACTATACTCTTTCTTTGGTTTGATTCATTCCAATCTTAATGTTTTTGTTCCATTTTCTCATTTTCTTTCTTTATTTACATTTTGATTGGTTGATCTTTTCAAGTCTTTCTTTAATTACAGTTTCCTTGTTTTTTGTCTTTCTTTAAGTCAATTCAATATCAATTTCAATGTTTTCATATGATGGCAATTTCGAGTTTTGACTTCACAGCACTACAATTGGCCGTCATAGCGCTTTGTAGTGGAATGACTTCATAGCGCTCAAAAGCGCTATATATCACGTAGCGGCGTGATTATAGCGCCTCGGCCCACCCGCTATGGTCAAAGGGCTTGCTAGTAGCTATGATAGTGGCCAATAATGGCTGGGTAGATAGCGCTCAAACGGCCCGCTATGAGAATCAGAAAATATGGCGGCTCATAGCGGGCCGGACGGATGTTGAGTGCTCACGCCAAAAATTGACAATCAGTCCTAAGCCCCTCTGCGAGGGCGCGGATGCGGCCACACAGAGAGGGCTTTGTTAAGCTAAAAGGATATTGGAATATCTGAGTAGAGAAACTCACCTTTTTGAGTTTGTGTGAGATCACCTTAAATGGTGGTTATTGTACATCAGCTTCAACTACTTTGTGGCTATTTTATGTTTTCAAGTGAAGGAAAAGCATGATTTGAGTGATTAAAGTGCTTTGAAAAGGATGAACATGATGATGGAGGAAATGTAATGATCTGATTGCAGAAATTCTTTTCAAAATCTGCATAACACTTTTGCAAAAAGTGGCCATAGCTGTTATTCTTCAGACAGATTCCTATGTTATGTTGGTATACTTCACGGCAAAGTATCAAGGCATATTTTTTGTTTCATTGAGCACGATCAAGTTACCAATACATGTGGAAACCCAGGGGAGCTGAAGGATCGATGCCATTTCAGTACCATCTCATAAGATTAGAGAAAAAGTTGTGGTATCTCCTTTGACTGATTGTAATCTGTCTCACTATCGCATAATGATTCCTGAAAAGCGTCATTTGAGTTGTTGTGCACGAGACCGATAAATCACGGCTGCTGATGCTGGAAGCAAGGGGTACATACGCGCTGGCTTCTTCGGAAGGTGTCAAGGTTTTCTGAACACCTCGTCCCTCTTGAGCTTAAGAGGTACAATCTGTTATCCAAGCCAGGGAGTCTCCAACCCCTCCTCGCCTCAGAGCTCTCGTCAATGTTTCCGCTCATGCGCAACGAGTCTTCATCCGACATTTGTTATTGCAACATGGATGATTTTTTGATGCAAAGTCTAATCGAAGCTGTAGAGAGCACAAGAGGTGAGGAAGGGTTTGAAAATGTGTACATATACAGTTCAGCAGCTGGAAGGTGAGTTTGTAGATACTTAGAACAAGTGTGATGTTGGAATTTAGCAAAACTCAAATCATTTCCTTTTCTAATCAAAACAACCAACTAACAGTGACTTACAAGGAAAGTCAATCAAACGACCGAACAAGCAAACCGTCAAGAACAAGAACCACAAAACGAAAGGAACGAACGAATAAGAAGCGAGCTCAGCTTGAAATATGAATCAAGAACCATTTGATAAGAATTCATCAAATCAAACTTATTCAACTTCACAATATAATGACGTGGAAGAATCTCAACCATTAGTAGGAAGTCAATCACCATTCCCTTCAACTTCAACAGCAACAGCAACAAGACCATCATTATCATCATCAAATCAAATCAAAACCAACTCTAAGACTAGATCTAAAACATCCCATGAATCAACTTCATCACTTCATTATCAACCTTCATTTAATAACTTGGGATCGAAATCTAAAGAACATCAGCAATTTATCAAAAATGTGATCATAAATGTCATGTTTATCTTATCATGGTAAGTTTCGATCCTTTGATTCATCTCATCTTTCGATTTGAATTTTAAGCTTACTATCTATCTTTCCAATCTACTCACAGGTATCTCTTTGCAACTCTCATCTCATTATACAGTTGAGTTCATTACACCTGTCAAAGCCAATCTGCAAAAAACTGAACCGTTTTCTTTTTGGTTCCCCAGATAAATGGATGTTTTCACCGGATCATTATAATTTTCAATATCCTCTCTTCGTTTCATCTTGTCATATGTTGATTCAATTCATTTTAGCTTCTTTATCTCTTGCAACTTTCAATTCAATTCGTCCTACAAATCGTCCATCTCCTCATAATTATGCGTAAGTCATCAATCTGTGATTTTTTTTCAACAAGTCATCACTCCAAAACTAATGGTTTTTGATTTTTATAGTACCAAAGCAGCACCTTGTGGTATCGCATCTGGTTTAGATATCGGTCTTTCAAATTCAAGTCTCAAAACTGTTACTTTATCATTCTATAGTTTAGTTTTTCCCTAGAAATCTTATCATCTTTATCAATTTTGAAGAACCCAAAACTGATCAAAGATCCATGAATCGAATTTTAAACAACTTCAATCGAATCAAACTTCATCAGCAATGTGTAAATCTTCATCATTAGCATTTGTACTATGTTTCGCATTCATTTTCAAATTAGAAAAACCAACCTACAAACTTACCGGAATCATAGCCTTAATCACAGCCGGCGTGATCTTAATGGTTTCATCTGAAACTCAATTCGATTTCTGGGGCATGATTGAAATTTTATCTGCATCATGTATGGGAGGTTTACGTTGGTCGTTAACTCAAATCTTATTAGATAAGAAATCCATGGGAATGAACAGTCCGATTGCTACGATCTTTTGGTTGGCTCCTACTATGGGCATCACTTTGGCAATCTGTTCGATGGCCTTTGAAGGTTGGAATACGATTATGTCTCAAGAAGTTTTCTTTGGTGATTTAGGTAAAAGTTTGACTACTATGGGATATATTGTGACGGCTGGTGGATTGGCTTTCTTGATGACTGTTAGTGAGTATTTGTGAGTACAAGATTCTTTTGATTGCTTGAACTTATCATTTGATGGTCTTGAATGACCTCTTGAATTTGACTAAATCACGTCTGCAAACCCTCATTTCAATCCAATCTCTCTGAAATCTCTTCCTGATAACTGATGATCTGTTTGCATAATTCAATACTATATGGTGTTAGTTTAATCCAAAGGACATCAGTGGTCACATTATCAATCGCTGGGATTTTCAAGGAAGTCGGAACGATCTTCTTATCAACTGTCGTATTTCACGATACAATGACACCTTTAAATATCTCAGGTTTAGCTATCACTCTTTTTGGAATAGCTCTCTATAACGTTTTGGTTTGTTGGAAAGAAATTTCACCAAGAATTCGAATCACAACCATTTGACTGATTTGATTTTTTATGTGTTGGTATGATTAGAAATATCAAGAATCAATTAAATCTAAACATTTAGATTCACTGGAAGATAATTTAAATCATAATGATATCGCACTTGAATCACATTCAATAAGTTCAAAAGAAAATGAAGAATCTGAAGAAAAACAATCAAAAGTGTTAGATTCAATGGTACGCGTTCATGTTCGGGATGTTTGAAAGTCTTGAGTCCAAGGAGGAAAGAAACTGATTTTTTTTTGTGTGTGGTTTGGAAAAAAAAGTCAATGAGATCTATTGATTCTAATCATCATGAAATCTTGAAAGGAAATTATTCAAAAATCGATAAAGATTTAAAAGTAGATCGAGAGATTAGAAGTAGATCATCAGGTAGTGAATCATATCAACTTGTTCAAACTCAATTTGAAATAGGAGAAGATGAAACAGAAGAAGAAGGAGAAGGAGAAGGAGAAGAAGGGTGGGATAAAAGTTGGATTGTGGAAGAAGAAACTGGGAATGGATTAGTTGAAATTCATTCTTCTTGAAAACATTCTTTCTCTTCAATCAATTTTTTTCTTTTTGGCTTTTGTTGAATTGTAATATAAAATATTCCGAAAAAAAAATATGCATAGTATTTTAGTTTTTCTTTATTTGAGGACTTTGACTTCTTTGTGATAGGTTTTATTGATGGATTTGATTGAGGTTTTATAGAAGGTTTTGATGAAAAAAAACAACATAAAATGGAAACAAATTAAACGGATTGAAGGAATGGGTCTTTGAGGTTGAGTTTTTTTGTTTTTAGCTTTCTGGTGCATATGACATCTTGAGGGTATTTTATGAATCATAAGTTTATGTTATTCTTCTTTGTTTGAAGAAAGTGATTTATGATTTGTTGTGATTCTGTTGTTGTTGGTGTGCGTAAAGGTTATCAATCTTTCAATGCGTTATTATTGTTCATTGCAAGATTATTGGGGTTTTTGTTTGTAGGTGAAAGATTAAAGATTCGACTCGAAGATGCTCACATCCTCCGTTCCTCAACTACCTCTTAAATGTCCCGCCGTTGACTTTGAGGAAGCTCTTCCCAAAGTCAACAACAATGTCATGATCTTGGCCTGTCCTTGCAAACCGACTGGCTTCACAAAGACTATCCCATCCGGCCAAACGGACAATGCGGAAAAAACGGCACCTAGATTTTTCCCGGGATGATTCAGCACTTTTGTCGCACCGGCTTCGATCATCACACCGTGTTTGTATCCTTGTAGCACGTCGATGTGCGCACACAAATTAGTTTCCTTAGACACTTGACAGACCTATTGAAGAGGTTTCACAACAGACACATCTTCCCTTTATAAACTGGGATGTTGGCAGTCAGTTGACCCCAGCTGATAACAAAGGATTCTGTGAATCCCATAACTAAATCATTGTTCACAAAGGGTTCTCAAGAACAAAACTCTCCGTGTGTGCACGTCGATGCTACAAGGATATTGACATGGTGTCAGTGAGCGTGATAAAATCTGGACATCCACCTTCTGGAAAGCCCTCATGCGTCGTTTCCACATGACGAGTCTTTCATCCACAAGCTCATGGGAGGAGTGAACACACTGATTGCACTGTAGGCATGATCCAGAGAAATTCAGATATCTGAATATAATGAAGATCAAACTTCAGTCTTGAAGATTGCCAATAATCTTGCATTTGATAGATGGCCTACTGGCTCTGAGTCAAGGTATCAGCTCAGACAAATCGGTTGAAGGAACTTAATTGGTCCCCCAGCTGGTGGGGCATGCAGGTGATGTTGAGGGTCTTTTCTCAGATATTATAGGTACAAAGACAAAGGATTGTAACCAAATGTATGCCAATGCACTTTGGACGATCTGACAGGTTGGAAAGGGACTTTCTTGTGAGCCAAGATCTCCAAAAAAAGGTCTTCAGTAGCAGCGAGTCAACACCCAGGGGTTGAAAGCAACTCGGATAACGAGTTTGATGGACCCGACGCTCTTGAAGACTTTGAAGCTGGTGTGTTTCCTGTCAGTATGGTTGATCAGGTAGAAGGTCTTCTTGACCCTAGTCTTGGGCTAGATCAATACTCTGTTTTTTGATTTGTCTAACTTTGAAAAGACTTCGTGCGGATGAACAGTGCTTCAAAGTCATGGGACCTTGAAGACATATTTCGAATGATCTGATCGTTTTCTTCTGTTACATAAATTCTAATAACAAGACTACTTCTACCAAGTTGTTAAAGTCCTATTATGTAGTATCCAAGCATATAGAACAGGTCTTGATTTCCGTTTTTGAAAAGAAGTTTTCCATTTTCCTGCGTTTGTACTCAAATGGCGCGCCCGTCCCTGCCCGTCCTTACCAAAAACGCGCCCACCGCCTGACTAAGCCAACAGCCCTCCCCCAAAATTTTGGTGTCTTTGGTTCAGTGAAACGTTGTGTCAAGTTTGATAGAATTTGACAGAAGTCACATTTAAGACCCAGACCTTAAAAATTAAATGAACCAAGCGTTGGCAAGATGGCAAGCGTGCCAATGCCAACTTGAATAGATAATTAGGTAAACCATTTCAATTTGAACTATAGAAATCAAGATGGCAAATAGATCTTTTGAAAATTCTTAATTTTCTTTTAAAGGAATGCTAGTACGGATTCAAAGTGAAGTACAATGTAGGAGATCTATGATCGAACATTTTGGAGATCGATCTCGTCAGGATTTATTGAGAAAGAAGACTATGAAAGATTAATTTAAATTTAATCTAAACAAATGGCTTGAAGTGTCTTAGATTCGATTTAAACGGTTCTCTTTCCTTGCATGGACAACTCGTTAATCCCCTTTATTCCAGATTTCTGATTTCGTTCAAACTCATCTAATTATTCATCTTCTATTAATAGCTAAATCGTATCAAACCTTCAACTTACTATCCATTCTACTCAATAACATCCATCCCCCTTTAAAAAGGAAAATCTAGAAAATGAGTCAAGAACTTCAACAAAGTCTTTCGTGTGAATCTGATTCGAATTCGAATTCACATCAAGAATTCAATTCGATCTTCACTACTATCAAAGAAGGTTTACATGGTTCTAAATTTATTGAATGTATAGATGAGAACGATTTCAAGGCGCTGAAACTAGAACAACCAGTACGAGCTTCCAAACAAATCCAACATGTAAGTCTTGCTAATAAAACCATTCAGATTGACCGGTGTACAGAAAACTAAGTTGGATATCGTTTTTTTTTTTTTGGTTGATCGATTTGAAGTTGTCGACTCCATTACAACATTCACCAATCCAACACAACAATTCGATAGGTAAATTCGTTCGTAGATTGAGTACCAAACATTCAACTCATTGTACTCCACCTAAAACGACGCCCAACTCAACCAAAACCATTCATACACCTACATCCAATCCGATCATCAATCTATCACCTTCACCTTTGAATCGGTTATCAGTCAAAAGCTTTTTAGATACTAAACGACACTCCTTGAGCCATAGTTTGGGTTCCACTAATCTTGGCCAGAATTCCAATTCGAATCCTAATGGCAATCCTAGTTCGAGTTCGAACTTTTCCAAGTTACCTCAGTTTATCAATCGACGGAGATCTACTCCTAAGTCAAGTAATAGCAAATCAACCGATTCATCAAACCCAACCCACCATCCATCGTAAGTGTGAACTATCATGATCGATTCTTGTTGATGAAAGAAGGTACTGATTTCAATTTTTGCATATAGAAACCATCAACACCATTCCTCAATGCCCATCAATTCGATCAAACTACAAACCTCACCGACCTTGATCCCAACCACAACACCAACCCATCACTTAATCTTATCAGCTCCACCCTCAACTCTAACATTTTCAATCTCGACCAAATCCAACGAATCATCCAAACCATCGAACCATGTAGCTCCCCACCAAAAAACACCATATCCTTCAATCAGTCAACGACCTCCTTCAGATCCATCACTTTCGATTGCAAACCTTTTGGAACTTTATGAAACTCCTCCACCGGTCTTTGAGGTCTTGGGTAGAGGAGAATTTAGAAGAAGATCAGTTAACTTTCAACATTCAATCTTACAATCTGATTCGAATCTTTCAGAGATTTGATGGGACCAGTTGGATTGAGTTGAGATTTTGTTTTGCAACAACACGAACACTTGGTTGATGATCACCAACACGCTCATGGGTTTCTTTTTCTCTGTATTTTATTCGTCTTTATCTTTAATGCTTTTGATGGTTTCTTTTGAATCGTTTCTTTTGAATTACCAAACCGGTTGGAATGTTTCTTTCTTTCTTTTTTCTTTTAATTTATGTGTAATCTTAGTTTGGAATCGTTGTACTATGATGATGATGATGATGATGATTATCATCATCTTGTTGTTGTAATCGTAAGAAAAATGGATGGATGAATGGATCGTTTTTTTCCCTTTTCACGAACACTTTTTTTTTGGATTTGTCTTTCGATTTTCCCCTTTCTTTGTTACTTCTTCTTTTCAATTTATGAGTTTTGTAAAATGATGTAAATATAATTGTATTATAATTTTTCAATTCATGATTCTTATTTCAATTTTTTTTATCCTTTATTTTAATTTATAATTGAATTTTAATTTTATTTTATTTAAAAAAAACAAATTTGTAGCCTTTTTCTTTTTTTTTTTTTTGATTTCTTTTTGTAAAAATATATAAAGAACATGAACAATTTCTCCTACATAAGATTTTTTTTTTCCAATTTTTGGTACATATTGAATTTCGAATGAAACTCAATTCAATTTGGGTTTTTTCTCTCTTTCAATCCTTAAAAGAGATTTCTTCAAATCAATTGAACCATGGTGATTCTCAAGACAAGCCTACAAGATCTTCAGTTAAATAAAACAAATATAGTACTCAAAGGGAAGAGGTTTGAGATATGGGAGTCTTTCTGAAATAAGAATGCTTAAAGTTTTTGTGTGTGTGTGTTGCTAAAATGCTGGACAACCCCAGAGTACCTGAAGCGAATTGCAATGAAAAGAGAAAGCAGAGAGCCTAGGGGCAGCTTAACCTAACACTACAATAAGAATACCTGTAACACTAATGGGAGGGATGGTGGGAAACAAAATAAACAAGCCAAAGTTTTGTAAGAAGAATAAAAAACTTGATGATAATCTTAAGGATGAAGATGATAAAAGATAATCAGATGGTAAAGAGGAAGGACAAGCTTGAGAGTGGAAAACCTAGATTTGAAGAATAATCTAACAAAGTTAGCTTGAACAAGCCCTCTCTGGGCGGCCACGTCCGCGCGCCTCGCAGAGGGGCTTGGGACTAATCGTGAAATCTTGGCACGGAGACTCGGCCAAGGATTAAGTCCTCTTAAGTTGTTTTTTGCTTTTTCTGGTGTTCCTCACTGATAAACAACACTTTGCCTTACAGGCAAAGTTCTTTGGAATAACTTTGTACATGTGTTCTACCGCTGATCAACCCGGAAAAATCCCCCACTCGTGAACACTTGAAGTTCCTTTTCAAGCCTTATGTCTGCCCTGTAAGGGGGTGGTTGGCACTGTACAACCTGTATTCACAACGTAAAGCGACTTGAAATCCAAAAAAGGGCATTGTTGTAAAGATTTTCATCACATTTTCCCGGTCACATCACCCAGGATATCTAAGATATGAGCATACCAGGATGTGTACAACATTGGACTGAAGAAAGTTGCCTGCAAGGAAAATTGGTATTTATCAGCAAAGGAAAACGGGAAAAAGCAAAAAAAGACTTAAGAGGACTTAATCCTTGGAGTCTCTGTGCCAGAATTTCACAATTAGTCCCAAGCCCCTCTGCAAGGCGCGGGGACGTGGCCGCCCAGAGAGGGCTTGTTCAAGCTAACTAACAAAGACTCAGAAACCGTACAGAGAGCTCTTTACCAAAAAATGTCATAAGGGACAAGATGTAAGAAAAACTAAAGAAGTCATTCTACATATTTCACAGCTCTACCTCACTCAGCACCTATTCCCCTATGTTAAAACTTGTTCCAACTTCAACTTGTATGCTTACAGATTTTTCCTACACACTTTTTTTGTACTTTTTTTGGGGGGGAAACATATATATTTTGGTCCCAAAGTCTTTGAGGACCCCTTACATACTTCTTACACTGTAAACATTCTACACTATCCTCAAGTGGAACTGGGATAATGATGATTATTGTAGTTTGTCATCAAAAGATCTATAACTGCACACCTCATGAGCCATGACACTCACACTACATATGTCCAACAAGCTGAGCAAATTATTAGCCATCATATACATACAGGTCTGCTCAGTTCCCTGCTGGTGTGAATAAGTAAATCATGTGTGATACATCATGTAACTTTTTCCAGTTTGATAAAATGATCCTGAAAATTGACTACATATACCTCTGTAGCTACTCATGTGATACTCTGAAAGCCATTCAACAGTAACAGAAAGGGTGTTACATGAGGTTTAGTTGATGAAATCACACCAAAACTATGAGTCAGTGTATGTAGTCAATTTTTGGAATGCTTTTGTCAAACCAAAAAAATAAAGAAAGTATTACATATGATCCACTCATTCAGATGAGCAGGGAACTGAGCAGACCTCTATGTACATGATAGCTAATAATTTACCCAGCTTGTTGCACATATGTAGTGTGGGTGTTATGGCTCAGGTGTGCAGTGATAGATCTTTTGATGACAAACTACAACACTCATCATTTTCCCAGTTCCCCTTGGGGATAGTGTATAATGTTTACAGTGTTACCTCAACCTCATGTCTTTTCTTGGCCATTGGCAAGAACTCACACTTGAGCTTGCTCAAGCAAGTGTCTATACCAATAATCCTGAGGCAAGGTAGATTGGAACAGCTATAAGAAGCTACTAGACACGCCAAAAGCTTTCCGTTATATTGCCAATTTTATCTTAAAAACTAAACATTTTTCACATCTCCACTCTTATACACAGGACCAAAACCAAGGGAAACAGCTGCAGGACATGGGAAGGTCTTGTTGCAAAGAATAGTTGTCTCATGGCTATAAATCCAACTCATCACAATCTGTTAAATCCCATCATAGGGTCTGAGTGAACCTCATTTGAAGCAGTATCAAAAAAATTGGTGTTGACTTGTCCAATCCCAATCAAGGGTTTGTTTGTAGCAGCATTTGAGGCAGACAGTACACATGCATAGCTCAACATCAACTTGTGTGGTTAAAGTCCAGAATCTTGGTACAGTTTCATCACTGTTCCTCACACCAAAAAAGCACTCTCTTCCTCCCCTGTGACTCCGGTTGAGGCTAGGATAGGGGGTTAGAAAGGAGGATCAAATGCCTGCTCAGCTCTGTGGAGTCCCTCAAGAAGTTTGAGTCTATATGACTCTGTACTTACGCTGAATTCCTAACAGGTGTGCTTGCACAAAGGTGTTTACAGAGGATCACCACTTTCCTTTGGGTGTGCTAAATGCATAAAGTTGATTTTCAAAAAAAAAAGAAGATAAAAATCTTCCCTAATTGAGAAAAACATAGTTTTTCCATAACTCGACCAACTTATTCAAAAGAAAGACAACAAATTCCCAGTCTTGATAAATGGCTGTCATCCATATTATTGTAACATGTTTGGATAGTGTTTCATACAGTGGCACTAAAGTGCCACCTGAGTCACTTGATCAAAAAGGTCGAAAATTGATTACCAGCCCTGAAACGGTTCCTTTAAAACTAAGCCAACCCTGACCTGTATTGCCAGACCGCCGTCCACATCTATGATAATCCGGGGCATCTGCTTAAATAAATTTCTATGGTCAACATGACTCACCTGGCATCTCATGGTGCTTCAGGATTCTACTTCTTGATTTACGAAATAACATACTTATGTTTTAAGTTGTATCAGGCCTGTATGGTGAATTTTTTTACTTTTAAGTCGTATCAGACCTGTATCGTGAAGCAAATTTTAACCCTTCGCAAATTATCTTTCAAAATCATCTCACCATCTCTGACATTATCCTTCCGACAAACCCCGTCCATGCCAGTTCCAACAATAGTGACTGAAGCGCATCGTCCTGTCATTGCGGCACTGGTTCAGCAAGGTCTCACCAATCGGCAGATCCAACATGAACTATCAACACATCACGATGTTCACTGTTCACAGAGTACCATCACTCGAGCCCGCGCCAACTGGGACTTACAGATACAACCCAACGCTGAGACTCAAGACTTCAACAATCTTCTAATCAGATTCTATCACGGTCAAGGATTTGTTGCGCAGCATTTCATCCGATACTTGAAGAGCGACATGGCTTCAGTATCTCACTGCGCACCCTGGCACAATGCTGCAACCTCCTTGGCCTACAACGCAGGAAAGACGATGTCGATCAAGGGCGAGTCACCTTAGATGATGTGGCTCACTTGATTCGACATGCAAAGCAGCGCGCAGACGGTAAGCGAGCTGGATATCGTCGGGTTCACCACATTCTCCGGAACCAGTACCGTGTTTCTGTTCATTGGTCAGTATATTTTATACCAACACCCTAACCAATTCATATAGGAACACGTGTTATCTGTACTCACAATCTACCTTTTGGGCACAGTAAAATCGTTGGTATCATGGTGAAGCAAATGGATGCTGATGGTGTTGAGAACCGTTTGCGTGCATCAATCAAACGCCGAACATTCCATGTCGCAGGTCCTAACCACGCGTGGTCTGCCGATGGACATGATAAGCTCAAGAAGTTTGGAATCACCATCTACGGTTTTGTTGATGCGTGGTCTCGGCGTGTACTGGGCCTCTTTGTGCACATCACTAATAACAACCCGGCTCATATTGGAATGTATTTTCTTGAAATCGTCAAGCAAGCAGGAGGCATTCCGCGAAAAACTGTAACCAACCACGGAACCGAAACCATTAACTTAGCCGCACACCAAATCGAATTATTGTTCCAATTTGCAAACATTTCTCACGAGGAAGCTATCGCTCGGCATAAATACACCACCTCACCTCACAATCAGAAAGTTGAATGCTTATGGTCCCAGCTCATGATTCAGCACAATATTGCCTTGATTGACATGATTTTCAACTCGATGGAGAGTGGACAGTATGATGAAGATGACCCACTACAAAAGTGAGTTACAAGACTGTGAAAGGACCAACCTTCAGATCGACTGACATTTTCCAAACATAGGCTTCTTTTTTTGTATCTTTGGGTACCATTAGTTCAAGACTCTTTGAACAAATGGATGGACGATTATAACTCTTATAAGAAGCGACTTGACAAGCGAACAGCGCTCCCCACCGCCTGCGCTCCCAACTTCTGCTACTACGCACCCGCCTCAGAAAACAGCGTTGAGGGCCTCGTTCCAGTCCTGCCAGCCCATATTGATAGGCTCCGCGCTCAATATTATCCCAATTCTGACAAACTGATGATGACATCTCCCCTGTGGCTCTCTGAATTCGTCGCTGCAGCACAAGCATCACTGCAGATTCATCCCGCTGGGATCAATATGGAAAATGCCTGGCCTACATTTCACATGATTCTTGCATTCATGCACGCTTATGATTCTGCTTTACTCGAGATCCCCGCAGGACAACCTCGAGAACCAACCAACCACGAACAAGCGGTCATTTCTGTTCAAACCCAATTTGGCCGTGTTCCACTATAGTCTATCTCCAAAGCAAATAAAGAGAACACCTTTCCAAAAATTTATCTCCCTATCAAATAGCAGTCAAAAAACCTCGCAATTTCAAATTTTATTTAAACTTTGAGTACAACAAACATTCAGTCAATTATTTGATTATTAGAACAAAGTGAAAAATGCTTCTTTGTTTTCAGGGTTCCGGTACATCAATTTTGGAAAATCAAAAGGTGAAAAGAATGTATCTAGTTGTACTTCATGTGATTCTCTTTTATATGTGATCTCTTGTCTAGTTTACATACCACTGTTCTCTCCTCCTTAAAAGAACAATTGGTCCTTTTTATACTTCTTTTACCTTGACGTGATTCATCAAGGTTTCTGTCACTATTGATCAGATCAACAAATATCAACTTTAAGTTTTAGATTTTCAACTGTTTTTCCAAGATCATCACATCCATTAATAGTTTCTACTTAGTCACTTATGACGTTAAATGTGAAACCAGAAACCAGTTGATCCCTTGACTTCTGCGTTGATTATTCAAAACTTGTTTCCTTTCTAGTTTGATTCCTGATCTTCAAGTCTATAAAAGTAAATTGCTGGATTAAACTTTGGCTACTAGCTATTAATTTGATAGAGAGCGCTCAACAGTAAACCCCAGTGATTTTCACACAAGACATTTAATTCCATGCTTAGAGGATTGAATTTCATCTGGTTCTATGTCCATGGAGACATAGGTAGAGCACCGAGGATTGTGTTGTCAATATGAGACAGTCCAATCGCTTTTTTGGCAAAGTGCCTTGTCTGAGTCTGGTAGTCTTTTCTGCAATTGCCAATGCTGGCCCTCAGCAATCAAGACGTATAGTCTAAATTTTTTGGCCTGGTTTGATTCACAATGAGCATTAATTCACCTATTTGAAGTCGCTCAAGACAGATAAGCATCTGAACGGCATGGCAATGACCAGGCCGGCTCATTTCTAAAGGCAAAAGGAATGGTCATGACTGATCCCGCTTGTTTCTAAATCAGGAAAACAGTCACAAGCCAAAAGTCCCACAATCCCTATTAAAGTAACAATGTACTCAATTCCTCTGCTTGATCTTTAGTTCCTTAATCAATCCAAAAACTCTTCGCACCATATCTTACAGCTTTACACTGATGGAGGTTCAAGTCGCACCTAAATTGCCTTTGCGATTCAACAGTATATTTTGGACGAAGGACGAAGTAAGTCCTAACACGATGTCAAAAAATCTTCTGAAGACTGATGTTTTTGGCATAGATTCCCACCGTAAACACCGATATATTCAGATACTTTGACACTGATGTCTTTATCAATCAGAACGGTCTCCACGGGATCAGCTTGCACATTGCCGCCGAGCGGGATCAGTGCAAAATAAAAGAAAAACGCGCTTACAGGATTGAAGGACAAGTGGGAATTAGTGAAACTCATAGCACACCCATAATCTTGGAGTTCTCTGCAAGCACTATTGTAATTGACCATGCCAAAGTCCTCCCGAATTGTTTGGCCAATAAGACTTGTGCACAAGGTGTAGGTCGGATAGTAGATTGTTCAATCAGGCGCACAACTGGCAAAACCTTTAAGGTCATAAAGGTTTTGCATCAATGCTGGAATCCCGAAGTGAGTAGTGTACCCACCCTGGAATGTTTATTCATTTTCCTGATCATTCCTTATAACAGCAAACCCATGGTCTTGATTTCCACGCTAACTACTTGCTGGACAACATCAACTTGAAACTAATCAAAGCGCTGGCAGTTGGCAACCTCATCAGTTTACATGGAAATGTTGTGTCGTATGCAATTGACAACACCTGGGAGATACAGGTAAGCAAGGCGCATTGATGTTGATGCCACACAATGTGCTACTTACTCACTTTTAACACTGAATTTTGGCAGGCTACAAGGATTCAACTCGTTCATCTCACAACGATGAAGAAAACGCTGAGGAGAAGCCGAAGACAGCGTGGACTTGACCCAATATAGGCAACACCCTCAATTCAAGAGGTTTGGTACACACAAGCATTTGGTTATGTAGCGACGTACACCAAGACATGACCCAGACATAGCTGCCTTTGGTATGTCTGGGCCTTGATTCTGGTCACAAACCGGTGGCTATTGATTGTATAAAGTGTAGATAATTTGTAGATAATTTGTGTCATAAGTTTGATATTCCATGAAGCTTTTACATGATTGTAAAGTGGTGCTTTGGTCGTGATCCACTGGGTGAAGAGCCAATCACCAGTTGGATCATCATTACAAATTACAAATCATCCTCCTGCCTGAGCATGGATGAGATGACACAGTATAAAGGCAAAGCAATTGTTTATTTGACAGAAAGGAAACCTTTCTTCATTGGGGTGGTTGAAGGCTTATGATCCGCTTTTGCATGTTGTATCTCATCTACATAAAATAGCATTGAATGCTTGTTTCAAATATCCAAAAAGCAACTGTTTGCATCCATAATCAAATAGAGTTGTAAAAGGTTCTATCTTTGACCCACGCATTCAACCCCATCCTACTTTTGCAAAATTATAATTAAACTTCCTTGAAATCTCATGAACTTTCCAATTTGGAGATTTCATCACCCACTAGTGGATACTGACAAATTACATGCAACCACTATCCCTGATGTGAAGGGTATCATAATTGCGGTGGGCATGGATATTCTTACATACCATCCTACACAGGAGCCTGAGGGCATTTGATTAGGACTGAGGATAATCAAATGCTTAAACAATTTGAAGACATAGATTCATAAGTATGTATCTGATATATCTCATATGGGTATCACAATTGCAGTGGGCATGGATATTCTTACATAATATCCTACACAGGGGGACATTTTATTAGAACTAAGGAGCATCCAATATTTAAACAATCTGAAGGTCATCTCTCAGATACATATAAATGTATCCGAGAGATGTCATTTCAATTGTGTCTGGTGCCATGATTCACATAGCTACATCTCCCTGCTCAAAATATTGCCAACATAACCCAGAAACAAAATTGTTCAAAGACTGTAATATATATATATCAATTATGTATATTCAATCATAATTGATGTTCCATAGTGACAGCATACTTTCTCCCCTGCCTGCTCAAGCAAACCCCAAAAGGTCCAATAAAGATAAGTCCAGGACCCAAAGAATGTGATGTATATATATTAAGATACATTTATAATTTTAGCTCTAGCATTGCAGGTCATGTCAACATTGACGCTAATGGCTTATTGGTCTAAGCACAAAAGACGGCTTCTTGGTGCCATTTCGTCGCCATTGTCAACAGAGTTCAACACTGAGGGGAACACGTTCAATAGAATAGCAGTGTTGGTATTCCATCTCATAGGCATGATTTGGCATGATGACACGTTTGGGGCAAAATTACATTCAACATGAACTTTCACTCTATGAACATCAGAGTAGGTACAGGATGATTATTAGATTCTAAGTTTCTTGTGTGTTTGACATTTACGTTTAATCTCATCAGCATAATTTTCTACTTTTGATTCACGGTATTCCACCCATTCTTCCTCATCCATAGCACTTGTTTTATTAAGAAGTAAATTAATGCGTTGGACAATCGACTTTGAAACTTGACACGATGAACCAAATCGGGTGATTTTTGATTGTCGAGGGTTAACACAGTCACCTTTTGCATCGTGAGTGGTTGATTCAGTTGTCTGGTGTTCCACATCCGTCGCCCAGACCATCTCCACCACTCCATCACAATCTTCAAAGCTGACTTCAATATTATATTCAGGGAAAGAGAAATGACCTTCCTTGACATATCCATGTCTTGATTTGCCACCACGCCTGTAAAGCTTTCCAGTCCCACGTTTGATCAAGCCAAACAATCCATATGAATAACCTGTAGCATCACAATCTTTATGAATCTTGTTATACCATTCATCATGAGTCATTACGAAGTTTCCACCAAAGGCTTGTCCGTTGGGTGAGTTAAAGAATCGATTTGATGCCCATGAGAGGCCGAGCTTAGCACAAATTTCGTAATTGGATTGAAAAGCTTCAAGCGAGAGAGAAGAAAACCGGCCAGCCAGGATATGTTGTATGTACGGCAGGTTCCGTTGTCGTCTGAGGTCCTTTTCCATGGAACGGATCGAAAGAGCAGTCTGGCAACTGATTGCAAAAGGACCTAGATATTTCTCAAATTGTCAGATGGAAACAAAATAAAAATACAGAAAATACAGAGATACACACCTCCAAAGACACCCTTCCAATATCCAGCTCTCATCCCAATTGCAAACATATCCCCTCGTTTTCTTTTCCCAAGTGCAACTGTTGGTCCATTGGTTGTGATTTGGTTTCTTGCTACTCCATGGTTATAAAGGGTTGAAATAGATCGTCCAAACTGTTTGAACAATTGCTCACTATCTTCAGTTTGTACTTTTTTACCGTTGGATTGAATATATTGTTGAGTGTTGAACCGGATGACTGTGATCAATTTAGTGCCGTTCAGATTGAGGATCACAGCAGTTCCTGTTTTTAAAGTGAGCGGTTTATTTTTACCATGGTTGGCTTGATGAATGAAAGTGACATCGTCAGGTAGACCAAACTTCTTCTTGACTTTCTCTTTGAACGTTTTGCGCTTGCGAGCCCGGTTGCTAGTTGTTGATTGTGTAGCACTCGCAACAGTCGGAGGGTCAGGTGGTGGAGTGGGGAGTTGAGTTTTTTTCTCGACACTTTTAGCAATCAATCGATCCTTATGATCCTTTGAACGCTTAAGCTGGGTTGATTTGGCCCGGTATTTGGGTTTTTGCTTGGTCATATTGAAATCACCTATCAATCAAAAGAAATTCAATCAGATTCAATCATTCAAAGCTCTTCAGAAAATCACAAAACGAAGCTCCATCCTTCAAAACAGTCAAGCCCTCCAAAGAAAACCTGGCATCTAGCAAAACCCCATCTATATAACTACTGCGTGCAGCAAAACCATAGTTATATAAACACGATTGAGGAGATGACCAGGTTTTGATGAAAGGTCCAATAGTTTTGAAGAGTGAGGCAAGAGGCCATGCATGAAAGAATGCAACATGCATTCAATATTTTTTGAAAGAAGTGTTGAACAAAGTAAAGTATCCCTAGGTTACGCTCACAACAACAGTTGTGAGCTTGAGGGAATGCAGCACTTGTTCAACACTTCCAATGCGGGAGATTGAATGTATGTTACATCCTTCCAAACACTTCTGGGGAAGGGAAAATATATTGCATATATTTTTTGAATAAACTTACGGTTTTTAATAGCCTTGATGGTTGAACAGGAAGATATTAGTGATGATTTGAAATCGAAGTGGTTGAAATGAGGATTTGAGTGACTCGTAGGATCAATTGTTTAGAAGAGGACTTGACCGATATATTGATTCGCGAAAGAGATGAAGGATGACTCTTGTGATCAATCGTGCAGAATACGGATCGTTTAGAAATTGATTAAGCAAAATCGATCAGCATGAAGTAACTCGGAAGTCGAACTTGATCAAAGTAAAGAAAAGTGTAAGTAGTGATCGATAAAGTTAAAGGCGAAATTGATTGAAGATGATGATTTTGGCGGTTGGAATTGATATCAATTGATTATAAAGAAGAATCAAGGAAGATAATTGAATAGATGAAATAAGATTAGTATGAGATGATGAACAAATAGGATCAAGAGAATCAAGTGAACTTACTTGAGAGAAGTCTATCCGAGCAATGATCTGAATAGGAGTTAAGCAAGATCAAAGCAATTAGTGAAGAAACAATTAGTTGATTCAGATAAAGAAAGAACTTACCAAAAGGATTGGTAATGAAGAGGAATCGAGGTGACCCCTGGGCAATCCCAAGCAAAATCCGGATGGAGCTGAGAAGCCACAAAGAGCTATAGATTGTCTTTCGAAGATCAACCCTACCAAAACGTTGGTATTGAGAAGGTTCAATCAAGATCAGTTAATCACAAAGATTTAGGCAATTAGGTAGCAGGCGAAGAGAAGTCTTTTGGCGGATTGATGAGGGTTAGAACAGAAGAGAAAGAAATTTTAGAAAGCGACTTACAAATCAAAAAAATTGACAACAATCGATCGATTTGCAAAGCGAGCGAGTGAATAAGCCAATTAACAAATTGATAGACTAGGAAATGAAGAAAGTATTACTAACGTTCCTTTTGTTTTGACCGGTCGCCTGGAATTCCATCAAAAAGTCCAGAGAAGTTAGTATAACTCTGTGATCAAGGTGTACATATCAAGAACTAAAGGAATGAAATGAAATCAAGAGTCCCAGTCGAATGGTTGGGAGACGCACACTAGTGCAGCACTTTGAAGAGCTTACGTTCCCTACACTCGAAACCAAAACAACATGACATGTTAGTGAATAGTAATCAAAACGAAACAAATCCGAGCCAAAGGTAAAGCGAGATGATCGAACTCACAAAGACAGACAGTCTAATCGAATATGTTTGAGGATAGTAATCAAAACAAAACAAATCCGAGCCAATAATAAAGTGAGATGATCGAACGGGCAAAGACAGACAGTCTAATCAAATATGTTTGAGGTGAGTAATCAAAACGAAGGGAATCCGAGCCAATAGTAAAGCGAGATGATCGAACGGGCAAAGACAGGCAGTCTAATCAAATATGTTTGAGGTGAGTAATCAAAACAAAGGGAATCCGAGCCAATAGTAAAGCGAGATGATTGAACTCGAAAACACAGGCAGTCTAATCGAATATATTTGAGGGTCGGTCTGTCAATATAGCCATGCTTCCCAAGAGCCCAAAGTGCTTTAGGGTGAAGTAGTATTGGGGAGATTTGATGTGAGAACCGTGCTTAAGTGATGACTAGTGTACAGGGTCGGTATAGACCCATGAATATGGGTAGGCGGGTGGTGACGTAAGAGTTTGCCGCAGGCATTCACGTGGTGGACATGATGGTATGGTCGTATTTGTTACTGTAATATGCCTGTAATTGGAATTGTCAGCAGGGGTTGAGTCTTCTCAATCAATAGATCAAGAAGATGCGTGTAGCTTTCATTTTCAAAGACATGCATTTCAAAACTCAGATATGAACAGATATTGGTACAGATACATACAGATGGATATACGTATGAACAATGGAGATGGAGCTTGATTCAGAAAAGAATCTGACAGAAAAGAATCTGAGGGGGTGCAGGAGCGGTGCGGGCAACTGGCCGAGCTGATGCAGACAAATAGGTGGGAAGGTCAACATGACCGTGAGTGACTTTCTCACCGTTGGGTAAGTTCAGTGCGTGTTGCCATATAAGATCAACCTGGGGTGGTTGGACAGGGATTCGGATAAGCTTTGGAAGTTGAAGTAGTTGGCATCCAAGGAGACATTTGTGCTGGTCAGTCATGAGTGCAACAGCTGCAGCTCGGCCGTTCCTGCTTCCCCAGACATTTCTACAAGTCATGTAAATTAGCGCAGAATCCGATTAAAAGATTGGGAAGAGGTTTACTTACGCTGGATTTATATCGTGGATCTGAGGATTGGTAACTACTGAACCAGACCCACGTAGTTTGGTCACAAATTGCTGACCTTTACTTTCCTGATAAGTCCAGTGACAAAAGGCATCCATCAGGTAGTGCATGTTGGAGGGATTTTTGATGATAGGAAATCCAAAAAAGTATGCAGTGGCAAATGATGTCAAAGGTTAATTTAAAGCTTCTTCAACAAACATGACGTCTTTTGGGCCTCCATTATCTGATTCATCATCTTCCAAGGTATCTGGGAATCTGATGAATTCATTGTCTTCATTTTGCAATTCAGAGCTGATGATGGTGTGCTCCACCAGCTAAGACATATACCAGAGAAGGTGAGTAATGAATGGCTTTGATGACATGTTTGGAAATGAAATGAGATGAGCACTTACACGCAAGTTAAGAATGGTTTTATACAGTTCAATGTTGTTTGTTAGACCAGGGATAGTTTTTGCATATGCAACAAAATCTCGAAGCAGGATTTGGACTGCAGTGTAAAGACGCGAGGTGTTTGTAGTTGCTACAATGCGAAGATTAAAGTAATTGATGATTGCGGACTTGCTGATAAATTTCATGGGGCCATCTGGATTCCATATATCAATTGACCTGACATAGTGAGTGCGTCCATTTTTTTCAATGTCCGAGCTCCAGCGGTAGGCAGTGAAGTCAGATTTGATTGTGTTACCATCATCCACAACTGTCCATTGCAAGCCAGGGATCCAATCAATGGCACGGCGTGTGTATACCAGCGAGGGTTCAGTAGACCGTCCAAAACTTTCAAGTCCTTTGACCATGTTGTCGGTGGTGGTATATAGTAAAGCTAGTGACTCGCCTGAGGGTATAGTCAGAAGAGAAGTAAGTTTCATGGATAGGAATACACAAGCCAAGTGATATGCTTACTAGATTGACCAATCTTAGGATGTTTCAACGTGGCTTCTGGGTCAGGAGATACATCAGGAGTCTTAAGCAGATCGGTTTTTTTCTGAATGAGGCTATGTTTGTATCAAGAATGATCGTAGATGAGATTGATGGAACTGTGTTGTGAGAACCACCATTGAAGATCGGTGTTGGTTACTGAGCCATTTTGACTGCCCAAAGTGGTGAAAGCAAAGGCGGCTGGGTCAAGGCTGTCAATCATGTCGTTTGGGACAAACACATTATGGAAATGAGTCCAAAGATCCAATTGCAAGTCTTCATACGCTTCAGGACGGTAAATATCAAGCGTGCGAGAGACTGAGAGTGGCTTTTGTTTGGCCCATTTGGAAGCCTTGAAAGTCTCGAATCCACAGAGGACAGTGATGACCGGACTAGAAGCATTGTAAGCAGGTGTGTCTGAATTGATTCGGCCTCGTGGTCGGGTGGAGACTGTTCCACCAGCCATTCGTCCTCGCTTAGCCTTGTTTGTGTTTGCTGGAAAGGTTGAGGCAATACGGCTGGTGCGGCTTTCTCTGGCAGCGATAAAGGGATCAAAGGCTAGAGATGATGCCCCCGTTGGAGTCAGTTGCATGGCGGAGGTGGATGGTGGCATAAATGCTGATGGTGTTTGGGGGTGATTGAGAACGTTTTTGTGTGCAGCTACTGTTGCGGCTGCTTGCTTGAAGGCTTGTGTATTAAACGCGTCAAGAGCTGGGTTTTGCTGTTGTGTATTTGGGTAGGGGTATTGCGGAGTAGGTACATGTGGGCCAGGATACGTCAAGGGCGGAAAGTTGTGGGGTTGGTTGAAGTTTGAAAGATGGGGAGAACCAGATCCTGTCGAGCTGCTGGAAGCACTGGTTGGTTGGGTGGGAGAGCTTGAACCACCTCCCAGTCGCATGTCAAGACAAGAGTTACAAAGACCACGGAATGATGGAGCCTGTAAATGGCAAGCGGTGCACGTATTACTATTCATTTTGGGGATGGAAGACAAGGAAAAGGATGAAAGAAAGAAAATGAGAGAAAAGTAAAGGGATTTGGCTTAGGGTTGGATGAAATGTGGTTCAGACTCAACTTTATATGAGGCCGGCTGTCGTGGCACTCCCGTCCATCAATGATACATATGGCCTAAATCAAAAACAAGGGCTCTTGATGCAGATGGCTAGTGATGGCAGGGTGTACAATAACTAGAATGAAAGTTGAATGAAAAGTAGGACCCAGGGACTGATGATGGTAGATAGGGTGACGGACCACGGCGGGCCAGGGTCGGCATATGCGTGGTGAAATTTTTGTTCTAGGGCTGGTAATCGATTTTTGACCTTTTTGACCAGGTGACTCAGGTGGCACTTTAGCGCCACCGTAGTTTCATGCAAAAATGCGATTATGCACTTTTAAAAAAATCCCAAGGTTCGCTTGTCGGAATGGCCCGAACACGCCGGTACCGGCTGGAGCAGATCATCCAATTTCCATTTCACCTGAATTCGAGACCACCCCCTATGTGCTGTTTTGAATTCACACCTAGTCACACGCTTTTGCATTGTAAACTTCTTCCCCAACTCAGGCCCCGTTTGGTATAGCTTACAAAAACCGGGAGAAATGTATTATTTTTTGAAAATAATACATATATGGGATACAAAG